AACACAGAGAACGAGTAAAACATAAGCGCTTTCATTTCTTCTTCATGATGTTTTACAATACTCATGGTAACGTCTATTATGACGTCATAATAACTTAACGTCAACAAGTCTTTGATTGACGTCATATGTTTCCCGTACTTTCACAGAACAATGCATCAACAAAGCATACAATAACAAAGCAATAAATGTGACTCAGTAACATAATTTACATGTAAAGAAACAATTCTTTTACATTAAACTATTTAATTTAGGTTTGAAAGTCCTTATAAAATGTCTTTCTTTATCACGTCTTTCGATTGTGTTAGAGTTGTGCAGTTTATAAAATGGACAGACACTAAAAGTTCTATTTCCGCACACGTCTAAGTGTTCACTGACTTTGAGTTTGCGATATTGCGGTACGTTTATTTGTTGTTTGTGTACTCTGATCCTTTCCCGTAAGGCACTTCCCGTCTCGCCGATATATAGTTCCCCGCAACCGGAACATGTTATAACGTATATAACATTTCTAGTTTGACATGACATGTTATTATTACCAGTAAACTGTTTCCCGTTAAAGTTGAAACTTTGTCCTTGTCGTATGTATGGGCAGGTACCACAACGCGGATCCTGGCACTTGGTCACATGAAATTCTGTCGTTTCTTTAAAAGAGGACTTTGTGAGAATTCGTCTGAGGTTCTTCGGCTGCCTCCTACTGTTTATGAATTTCCGATTTTTAAATATTTTAGACATAGTTTCGTCGGTTTTCAAAACGTCGTTGAGTTGGTAAACAATCGGTGCAACGTTTGTATTCTGGGGATTATGGGTCGTTACTAAAGGCAAGATCCTGGAATCCGTCTTGTTTTGTTGCACAGGGTTGAGGAGGTCCTCTCTGTCTAAATCCATGGCTTTTTTAATAGCATTATCAATAATTTTTTCGGGATAACTTTGTTTCCTTAATACTCTTTCAGTTCTTGTAGTCTTTGTATTTTGGTTGTTTCCTTATTTACGATGGTGCATATTCTCCTTGCTAAATTATAAGGGATGGCTCGTTTTGTATGCCGTGGATGGCACGAATTAAAATGAAGGTACTGATGCGTGTCTGTTGGCTTGTAATAGATATCTGTCAAAATGACATCGTTTTCCTTAATTACCATGATGTCCAGAAATGGAATTCTATCTGTACTTTCCTCCGCTGTAAATCTTATATCAGGATTAAGTTCATTCAGTAATGTTTTAAAGGTAGACAATTCGTTGTTACTGTATTTCCAAACAATAAAACAGTCGTCCAGATATCTTTTCCAGTTGTTAGTAATATAAAGTTTCACCTCTTCGTTGAACTGCTCTTCCACTTTCTTATACATTTTTTCTTCTAAGTATCCTAATGTTAATGTGGCATATGTAGGGGCCATCTTTGTGCCCATAGCCGTTCCTTTTATTTGTTTAAAATGTTTTCCATTAAACGCGAATGTATTATTTGATAGTACTATTTCTGTTGCTTCTGATATAAAATCCTTTGTAAATCTGCCGTTAATTTTTTCGGGATTTTTACTTATCCAGTAATCCACGGCTTCTAGTCCTAGGGAACTTGATATATTGCTGTACAAGTTTATTACATCCAGTGTAACGAGTTCACTGTTATTTTCCACTTTCTCGGGTAAATGACGTAGAAAATCAAAGTCATCTCGTACATAACTTTTGACTCCAGAACATAACGGTTTTAGAAGAATGTCTAGTAGATGACTAAGTCTCTGTGTTGGTGCCGATGGCCCACCTACTATTGGTCGAAATGTGAGATCTTCTGGATAGGGACAGATTATGTATTCCGAGCACTGGGATTTGATAGCCTCTTTTATTTGTCTAGATTTATGAATCTTTGGTAGTCCATAAAAAATGCTTTCACTGTATTCATAATTCGTTAAGAAGTCTTCCTCTTTCTCTGTTAAACTTGATGTAGTTTTATGGCGTTTCAAAAGATTCTTAATTTTTTGCATTGTTTTTTTGTCGTTGTTGTTTGGAATTTCTTCGTAGTACTCCGTATTCGATAGCATGTTCATTATATGAACTTTATAAAAATTAGAATCCATGATTACAATTGCGCCACCTTTGTCCGCTTCTTTTATAACAATGGATTCATCATTCGACAATGATTGAAGTGCATTCTTCTCTTCTTTTGTTAGATTCCATTTTATTTTTTGGTTTTTGTTTTTATTCAGCGGCAAAGTATTTAATGTCTCACAAACAACATCTAGAATTTCGTTTCGTCCTTTTTTAGGGTTAAAGTGAGATTTGTTGCGTTACGAGGTCTTCTTCCAATATTCTGAATCTGAATCACTCTCGTTTTCTTTATTAAAATATTCCGCTAGTCTCAATTTTCTTGTATATTCTTTAATATCGGTCCTTAATTCTTGACTATTCGTTATTATGAATTGATATTATTATTATGTGCTATGGGCACAAAGATGGCCCCTACATATGCCACATTAACATTAGGATACTTAGAAGAAAAAATGTATAAGAAAGTGGAAGAGCAGTTCAACGAAGAGGTGAAACTTTATATTACTAACAACTGGAAAAGATATCTGGACGACTGTTTTATTGTTTGGAAATACAGTAACAACGAATTGTCTACCTTTAAAACATTACTGAATGAACTTAATCCTGATATAAGATTTACAGCGGAGGAAAGTACAGATAGAATTCCATTTCTGGACATCATGGTAATTAAGGAAAACGATGTCATTTTGACAGATATCTATTACAAGCCAACAGACACGCATCAGTACCTTCATTTTAATTCGTGCCATCCACGGCATACGAAAACGAGCCATCCCTTATAATTTAGCAAGGAGAATATGCACCATCGTAAATAAGGAAACAACCAAAATACAAAGACTACAAGAACTGAAAGAGTATTAAGGAAACAAAGTTATCCCAAAAAAATTATTGATAATGCTATTAAAAAAGCCATGGATTTAGACAGAGAGGACCTCCTCAACCCTGTGCAACAAAACAAGACGGATTCCAGGATCTTGCCTTTAGTAACGACCCATAATCCCCAGAATACAAACGTTGCACCGATTGTTTACCAACTCAACGACGTTTTGAAAACCGACGAAACTATGTCTAAAATATTTAAAAATCGGAAATTCATAAACAGTAGGAGGCAGCCGAAGAACCTCAGACGAATTCTCACAAAGTCCTCTTTTAAAGAAACGACAGAATTTCATGTGACCAAGTGCCAGGATCCGCGTTGTGGTACCTGCCCATACATACGACAAGGACAAAGTTTCAACTTTAACGGGAAACAGTTTACTGGTAATAAATAACATGTCATGTCAAACTAGAAATGTTATATACGTTATAACATGTTCCGGTTGCGGGGAACTATATATCGGCGAGACGGGAAGTGCCTTACGGGAAAGGATCAGAGTACACAAACAACAAATAAACGTACCGCAATATCGCAAACTCAAAGTCAGTGAACACTTAGACGTGTGCGGAAATAGAACTTTTACTGTCTTTCCATTTTATAAACTGCACAACTCTAACACAATTGAAAGACGTGATAAAGAAAGACATTTTATAAGGACTTTCAAACCTAAATTAAATAGTTTAATGTAAAAGAATTGTTTCTTTACATGTAAATTATGTTACGAGTCACATTTATTGCTTTGTTATTGTATGCTTTGTTAATGCATTGTTCTGTGAAAGTACGGGAAAATATGACGTCAATCAAAGACAAACCGTGAAGCGTTTCGTGTAAACCGTGCAGCGTTTCGTGCAAACTGTGTAGCGTTTCGTGTAAACCGTGCAGCGTTTCGTGTAAGCTCCAAAGCGTTTCGTGCAAACCGTGCAGCGAGCGTGCGAAAAGCGTGTGAGAAACGTGCGACTTTCGTGTAAGAACCGTGAGAGAAACGTGTGACTTTCGTGCAAGAATCGTGTAAGATTCATTCGGAAGTCATTTCATTTTAAATATGGCTATCGATGGGTCAGGATGTCAAAATGTATTAATATTTTATTTTTGAATTAGTTATGCTTGTGATATTTTAGGAGTAAAATTAAAAAAAAATGGAACAACAAAATGACATTACACGGTAATGTATAATACATATTTGTTTGTTTTCTTTTCCTTCTGAAGAAAATGTGTTCAAATTAATAAACTATGTACAACAATTCTAAAGGAATTAAATTCAATATACTATCAACGCGATCATGGCTTCTTAAATATTTTTTTCTCAAAGAAAGAAAGAAATACCGGTATTTTTTTTTAATTTAAAGCAGAAATATATCAAGACTCCGCTTTTCTTTACATTTAGAGTACGTGAAAGAAAGTTTTGTAACGATGTGTCATTTAATACGTAAAACTTGTTGCTCAGTATTGTCAAATAAATGGATTTTATAATTTTAATTCACATGCACTGACGACCACATGTTAAGAAATTAGGGGGGGGGGGGGTAAATTAAATTACTAGTACAGTCTTTCATTTTTTGTTGTAGCTTTCAATCTTATTTTATTTTAAATAAATTCTTAATTTTCTATTCTTTTTCAAATCCTTTGTTTAACATGTGTACAGATACACCCCTTAAAAATGTATTGGAATCTTCTTTCCGCCTTTCAACTGTGATCAAGGTCATTTACAACAGCGATCACGGGCTGCAGTCATGGCATCTGAAAACCTGTTTTGCTCTATGTACATGTTGAGTTTACGGCTTCATAACACCTGAAAATACGACTGGATTTTATCTTTTTAAATAAAATGGTTCTATAAATATTTCATGGGTACAACGTATAAATCAGCGGATATCATCTCTTATTTGTAAATCCGAATTTCTAGCCGTAAACAGTAAAATGAACAGGACTGATTTGGTAGTTTTTTTCATGAATATCATGTAAGAAAAGCTTAGAAGTAAAACATGAATAATTGTGTATTTTTTGTTTTTATAAATCACGTACTTTTCATTTCATCTAAGATATTTGTATATTATTTGTTGTATAAATCACGTACTTTTTATTTCATCTAAGATATTTCAGTTTTCTTATAATATAACTGAATGCCGGTGTAAAGATCGATATACACTGTATGTACACGCGACTATTGATTAATGTACATTGTACACATATACATACTTTTAGTCGGTTTTTGAAATGAAAGATTTTACAGTATGATGGGTATACTGATGTTATATGCTTCATGTAAAAAGAGAAATTAATAAGAATAGATTAAAGCAAATTTTATTACTAGATCAAAATCAAGAAAAATAATCTGCCTACGGAAAACAAACACAATATAATCAATATTATCTGAATCAATGAGTTCATATTCCTGCAGAAAGAAATCGAATTTGTGTTCAATTTATTAAATTGTACTCGTAAAAATATTACATTGAAATGAATGACTAATATATTAAAAAAATGTATTTTATCAAACAGTCATTCGTAATATCGGCATTCCGTTTTTAAACAGTTGGATAAATAAATAAATATTTATTAATTAATTACAGCTGTCAAACTATTAAATATTTCTATCGGTTAATATAATACTAGTGTACTGATATTTAATTTAAACAGCTACTTAATGTGGCTTTGTGAAAGATTTACATTTAATTAATGATAAAACCATAATAAAGCCCGAGATATTCCGAGTAGAAAATCCAAACCGAGGCCAAAACGTGCGAGAATCGTGTACAAAGCGTGTGAGAAACGTGTACAAAGCGTTTCGTGCAGCCTTTCGTGTAAACCGTGCAGCCTTTCGTGCAAAGCGTTTCGTGTAAACCGTGTAGCGTTTCGTGCAAACTGTGTAGCGTTTCGTGTAAACCGTGCAGCGTTTCGTGCAAACCGTGTAGCGTTCGTGTACCGTTCGTGCAGCGAGCGTGTGGGGTAGTAGCACGTCTCAGGGTCTGTATTATGACGTCATAATAGACGTTACCATGAGTATTGTAAAACATCATGAAGAAGAAATGAAAGCGCTTATGTTTTACTCGTTCTCTGTGTTTTTATTTATCTAAAATAATTTTCAAAATATATATATATATATATATATATATATATATATATATAAAATATATATATATATATATATATATATATATATATATATTAGTGTTGGCAATTCGGACGAGTTTTATTGACCGGTTACTCGCTTAATCTTCCGATCGAGTACCCGGTTACTCGGATGTTTTTTTTGTTATAGTTTCCGTATTAATTATTAATCTCATCCTTTTACATATTGATAGAAGTAAATA